TCCGATGCTCACTGGCCGACTTCTCGCACTGGCCGACTTCTCCGTTGTTTTGCTGGCCGACTTCTCCTGCTGGCCGACTTCTCTTGTTACCATCTCGACTCTAGTGACTTTGAACTATGTATTATTTCATGAACAAGCAAAATCATGGAACAGAAGTTTACAATGAGGTGACATACATAAATTATTGTATGTCATGTATTTATTTACATGCTGCAACAACCTCATTTAAAAACATTGCCATTATGGTGAGTAAATAAATCCCTGCTCCCTCTATTATTTGTACTGCCTTTCCACTATTTGGCCAGATAATAAATAAAAATAAATATTCCAACTAGCATCCTATTATAACGTTTTACTGCTTATTTTAACAATCTATATATATACCCCAGTAATATGCTTTAATCTACAGAAAAATATTAAATATTTCGGGAACTTTACTTCCCTATTAAGAGTTCATATTCCTAGTTTGTATAGGAATTCACTGTGCAATTACATGTATTGACAGACATTTACTGTTCAATGTTGACAACCTGATGGAAGTATCTATATGAGTGTAATCAATTCACCACAGACAAATGTTTCTGTACTGATTAATTAAATTGATCAAATATTCAGGAGAATCTTTTGTTGAATTTACTGATGTATTGTGTCAGTTTTCTTGTGTGTCATTTAATGGAATTCGGTGGCTTTTGAGTATTACAATATTAAGGTTATTATATTATTAATATTAGGACCTGGTTTTATTGTTAAGTCATCTTGCAGTTATGTTTTTTGCCAACATGAAAATGTGTCTTATCAGTTGCTATTGTGTTTTGTTTTGACATCAATCATTCACTGGTCACTACAGTATTTTTACGGTCAGCTATTTCAGTGAGGATTTAAACAGCATTATTTATTTTGAATGTATTTAATTTTTTATATATTTTTTGAAAAATATTGAAATATAACTTCAATTTTTAACAGTAAGATTTATAAATTATTAGCCAGTTTGGGTAGATGATCTTATTAGTATCATAGTCACAAACAAAAGGTATTTAACCTTAAATAGTGCACCATTTTATTGCTATATTATTCAGTATGTGATTATAACACTTCTAGTCAGCCATTAGTTTCAGGCATTTCTTTATTTTAAACAAAAATCTATATATATTAAAATATTACAGTCTTGGTCATGAGACAATTTAACAGAAATGTTGAGTCTCATGTCAAGCCACTATTATGTAATATTTGTAAATTGCTTAGCAGCTATTGGTTTCAATATAATTGCATTTTAATGTATAATATATTATACTGCCACATGATACATTGTATCTGTAGGCAAATTTAGATATTACAAACAAACAAATAAATATTTCTTTCCCTTTGTGATAAGAATTATAATATTATTTTGTCATCTACAAAAATTAGAGGTTTTTTTTGGATTCTTTTTAATTTTAAAGTTATCATCTGTTTAGAAGTGATACACTTCCTGCATGCTGTGTTGTTATATTAAGAGATGTTTTTAGGACATTGCCATCCATGGAGCCAAATTACATACAAAAACATGCTGAGATTCAGAGCTTACTGAACAGTAGTGGGTAAGATAGTGACACAAAAACTTGTTGGGTTTAATTGACAAAACAAAAATTGAGGTCATCAGACAATTTTACTTGAGTACTTCAGAATTTGAATTTCCATGTAAAATTGCAAGATACTCCTTTAATCTTTATTTTTGCACCAGTTTATTCTTTTCATGTTGCTTGATAACTGGCTGAACAATTTATATGAATGGAAATAATTTAGCTAATTTGAGTCAGTCTCCAATGGATAATATTTTCTAATGCGCTGTACACCTTATGCTCACCAACATGCTCAATCAAGGCAAAACATGAATTTGGTTTGAACTCTGTTTACCATAATTTGTAAAGGTCAAATAATAACCTGTCAAGTAAAGAAGTGACAAGGACAAATATATTTCATGAGCTGCCACATTACTTTAGACAGGTACATGTGGTCTCTAAGTTACAGAAATGTTGATGATGAATTGGTTATTACACAACAATCTCTGTGATATTGCGTCATATTTACAAGGGATCTTGGTATGATGATG